TCATGCCCCACACTCTTCCTCTCACTCTCACTTTCACTCGCACTTTATCATTCTGTACAGACTCACACGGACCTTCATTCGCTTGCCCCCTCTTTCTCATTCACTTGCCCCCTCTTTCTCATTCACTTTGATTGATTGCCTGGGAACGTGCAGCAGGCGATGCTTCAGTTCCCAGCTCGTGCACACCGAGCCTACTGATGCTGTTGTGAGCAGGGTGCAGTACCGGCAAGCGGCATTGGAAGGGGAACGCCCAGCACGCACCTTTGGCATCGACAGTGAGTGCGTGCCATCCCTCCAGCGAGAAGGCCCAAGCGTGTCTCTCCTCGCCTGCTTTCTCCACCGCACGCCATCAGCTCCCCAATCTCAGCTGGCTGGATGGATGTTGATGTGGATTGGATGTGGATGAGATGTTCATTTTCTCAGCTGTCATCCAACGCACCAAGAACCACCAAGACCCCCCGATTTGAACTGCGTGACTTCCAGCCACCCGCCAGCGCACAGTTCTTCTTCTTCTTCTTCTTCCTCTTTTGTGAAGCAAGGTGTTGCACCGACAACCAGCCATGCGCGTGTTGGTGTTTGCGGTGGCGTCGTGCCTGCTGCTTGCTGCGGGCTCGATGGCTGCCGATTATCAGCGGCACGAGTACACGACGGCTTATCAGCCCAAGCACCAGGACTACACGACCAAGCACATGGAGTACACCACGGCTTACGAGGCACCCAAGCAGGAGTACACCACGGCTTACGAGGCACCCAAGAAGGCTTACACGACCGCCTACGTCGCGCCCAAGCAGGAGTACACCACGGCTTACGAGGCACCAAGAAGGCTTACACGACCAAGCACATGGAGTACACCACCGCTTACGAGGCACCCAAGCAGGAGTACACGACCAAGCACCAGGAGTACACCACCGCTTACGAGGCACCCAAGCAGGAGTACACGACCAAGCACCAGGAGTACACCACCGCTTACGAGGCACCCAAGCAGGAGTACACCACCGCCTACGTCGCGCCCAAGCAGGAGTACACCACCAAGCACCAGGAGTACACCACGGCTTATGAGGCACCCAAGAAGGCTTACACCACCGCCTACGTCGCACCAAAGCACCAGGAGTACACCACGGCTTACGAGGCACCCAAGCAGGAGTACACGACCAAGCACCAGGAGTACACCACGGCTTATGAGGCACCCAAGAAGGCTTACACCACTGCCTACGTCGCGCCCAAGCACCAGGAGTACACGACCAAGCACCAGGAGTACACCACCGCTTACGAGGCGCCCAAGAAGGCTTACACGACGGCGTACGAGGCACCAAAGCACCAGGAGTACACCACCGCCTACGAGGCACCCAAGCAGGAGTACACCACGGCTTACGAGGCACCCAAGAAGGCTTACACCACCAAGCACATGGAGTACACCACGGCTTATGAGGCACCCAAGAAGGCTTACACGACCGCCTACGTCGCACCAAAGCACCAGGAGTACACGACGGCTTACGAGGCACCCAAGCAGGAGTACACCACCGCCTACGAGGCACCAAAGCACCAGGAGTACACGACGGCTTACGAGGCACCAAAGCACCAGGAGTACACCACGGCTTACGAGGCACCCAAGCACCAGGAGTACACCACTAAGCCCGCCTACCCACGCTACACCCAGCACCAGGAGTACACCACACGCCCCGTCTACACCACGCAGCCACCCGTCTACACCACGCAGCCACCCGTCTACACGACAGAGGCCGTGTACACCACACGCCCCGTGTACACCACCAAGCCTCCCGTGTACACGACCAAGCCACCCGTGTACACGACCAAGCACCAGGAGTACACGACGGCCTACGAGGCGCCCAAGAACGAGTACACGACGAAGAACGACTACGCCTACGCCGACAACAACTCTGGCGCCTCTGGTGCTGGGGATGCCGCTGCAGGCCTCTCTGCGGGCGCCATCGCCGGCATTGTGGTTGGCGCGCTGCTGCTTGTCGGCGCTGTTGTTGGTGGCGTCTTCTTCGCCAAGCACCGCGCCAACGCCTCTTCCTCCTCGTCCTCCGCCGTCGAGTCCGTCTAAGCGGCTTTGCTGACGGAATACCGCATGTTTTCCGCCGGCATATGTGCCCACTGCACAGAAAGCAGTGATGATCGTGCGATGCACGTTTCTGTTCCCACCTAACCCCGTCCTCCCTAACACTGTTTGCTGTTCCTGCGACTGTGGCCACTGTCTGTGCTTCTTGTTGTGGAAATGCGCGCCACCTGCAATTGGTTGATTGTTGGATGCTGATCTTTTGCTCCTTTGCTTTCTGCTGTTTTGTTCCTGTTGTTCCTGCTGCCCTGCCCCGCACTGTATCCAACTTTCCCCTCCCCCAACGGGTGCCTTGTTCTGTTGTTTCGCTGCTTCTTCTGTCCTAACGGTGATGTGGTCGTGCATTTGTGCTCCGTGTTGTGATTGTGGCGACGGCAGGCTGTTTTGACCACCGCTTGCTCCTCCTAACATTGCTCTCACACAATACACCGAACAACCGAACCTCAACAACCAAAGTACACGCGAGGGCACGTGTGTGACGTAACAGGACTGCGGGCTTTGTGATTTCCTTCACGACTGGTTTACTCCTTTGAGGCGAGAACAACGAACCAGGCCGTTGCAAATCGTCAAGCCGCTGCGGTAACACGTCTTGACATGATGTGACAACAGCGGCCATGGCCAGGGCGCATGCATGCAAGCAAAGCAACAAACGGGCGAACAAAGCAGAGTGCTTGTGAAATACAACACGGAATGCCCAGAGGCGCAAACGGTGCCGGTTTACTCGCCAACGATGGCAACGAGGAAGCGCTCGTAGTCCCCGCCAGTGTCGTCCTGCACATATGACACACGTGAGTGTGAGTGTGTGTGCGCGCGTGTGAGTGTGTGTGTGTGTGTGTGTGTGTATGGAGTATGTGTGTGTGTGTATGGAGTATGTGTGTGTGTGTATGGAGTATGTGTGTGTGTGTGTGTGTATGTGGTGTATGTGTGTGTGTGATATGCAGGCACACGGGCCTCTGTCGCAAATTGTGATGCCTGCAACCGTACCTTGATCATCTTGACGAGCTTCTTGCCGTACTTGTCCACAAACTGGGACTTGATCTGCTCCATGTCGGTCTCGGCCCTGCCAACGCAACACGTGCGCACAAGCGCATGTGTTTGTGAGCGGGTAGAGATCACCGTTCTCCACAAACAAAACGAACCCAAACAACAAACAAGCAGAACGCAAACAACAAACAAGCAGAACCCAAACAACAAACAAGCACGCGCAAACCAACCTGGAGACGACGCAGCGGATGAGAGTTTCGTCGTCGGTGCCCATGCCCTTCATGGACTTGTAGAGGCGCTCGGCGTAGAATGCGGGCTGGTCAACCGCACTCAGCAGCACGGCCTTGAACGCAAACTCAAGATCCCCACTCATCTGCACAGGAGATGCGCGGGAAAGAGGACACGGGGTGAGCCAGACAGGTGAGTTGCATGTACAGACGCACACACATACATGCACACACGTGGGCATGTCAACAGTTTGCATGGATACAAGTTGAACAAGAGGCTGCAGCAGTGTGGGCACACACCTCCTTCTCGACAGCGCGCACAAGCGTGTGGTACTTTTCAGCGACCGCTATCATCAACATGATATGACGCAGTCAATACCACAACTGGCAGGTAAGCTTGAACGTTCAATGAATGCGCGCGCACTCGCACACACACACACACACACACACACACACACACACACACACACACACACACACACACACACACACACACACACACACACACGCTGACAGTCCATATCACACTCCCTCGTTTTGCATACATGCAAGCAAGCCAGTCTCCAACTGTCCAAGGCAATATTTGCAACAGCAGTGTGTGGAGAATGTTCACTGACCGCGCAGCTGGCCAATGCCGGAGGTCATGAACTCAGACTCGTCCGTGCCCCATTTTGCCTCGCCGGCATCGTACAGCGCTTGCGCCTGCAGTTGCATGATTGAGTGGGACATGAGAGAGAGAGAGAGAGGGAGGGGGGTGTGTGTGTATGTGCGTGAAGGCACGTTAGCGTGTGTGCAAGAAGAAATCGGGTCAGAAGTACACCAAACACACCCACACACCCACACATCACAATAACAGCGTCGCGTCACGCACATCGGCCTGGGCCCTGTCCTCATCCACGTCCTCAGACTCGTCGCGGTTGCCCTGAAGAAATCCAACATTTGTGAGTTGACGTGGCGAAAGACAGAAGACAAGTGCTACACAAGGCGCAGCAACCCACACTAAAGGGTGTGTCAAATACCAACCACACGCGCTCACACACACACACACACACACACACACACACACACACACACACACACACACACACACACACACACACACACACACACACACACACACACACACACACACACACACACACACACACACACAAACCTGGAGGAGAGACACGAAGATGCGCTTGAGGTGACCGCTTGTCTCGGACATGACGTCCTTCTCGAGGTCGCGATCGTACACGCGGTGGTATGCTTCGCGGATAGCGGCAATCTGCACACCGCCAGGTCAGAGACATGGGCACGTTACACAGGGGCAGGAGGTCGGGGTAAGGGCACCAGAGGACACGAGGCGGTTTGCGGGGGTGATTTGATGCACGGCGCGCATGCCTGGAGCGCAACAGTGGACATGTGTTTGCTGACCTGGTCGTTGCTGCGCATGGCCAGCACCTCGGCGATCACCTTCTCATCCGTACCAGCACCCTGCGATCAAACAGTGCCGTTAAACACGCCACAGGTGAGGCATGTGTGGGTGGGAGAGGGGATTGGACAACAATCGCGTACATGTCGGCGTGGAGTGCGTACGTGCGTGCGTGCGTGTGGCAAGCACCTTCATGGCGTGGCGAAGGCAGTGGGCGTCGTATTCATCAGGAGGCATCATGAAGGCAATGACGGCATCCTCGAAGTTGCCTCCGAGCTCTGTTGGTCAACGTTGCACTCACAAACAAGTCAGACGCAGCGAGCAAGCAGCAACACGTGGTGGCATGCAAAAAGGACAAGGGAACGCAAGAGCGAGCCAAGGAACACATGTCACACGCCACATGGGGCCCATAGGAAAACAAGTGTGTTTACAGACATCACGGCGCATACCGGACTTGAGGTCGTCGATGAGGTCACGGCCGTACATGGTCTTGAACTGCTTCTTGAGCACTTGGCGTTGCTCGTTGTTGCACGAGGTGAGGATCTCGATGATCTTCTTCTCGTTGGTGCCGAAGCCCTTCATGGCCTTGCGCAGGCCCTGCAATGGCACACGTTGTGTGTGTGAGTGTGCGTGCGCGCGCACACGTGTGTGTGTGTGTGTGTGTGTGTGTGTGCATGTGTGCATGTGTGTGTGCGTGTGTGTGGTGAGGTCTCGCAACCACAAGCACAGATGCTGACAAGAGAGATGGTGCGTTACTTGCACAACGAGCACACCAAACCACGTTGCAGTCGTGTCATCACTGACGAACCACGCTGCACCGCAAGCTCTCTCTATCTCCCTTTTCTCGCCTCCCTCTGCTTTTGGTGGTTCTTTTTCCTTCTTCGTGTGTCACATCACACACCTGAGCGAGCTCCTCGGCATTGAAGTCGGGGTTTGCGTGGATCGATGCCATATTGGGGGATGGAGGACGGACGGTGTGCTTTGGCTTGCTTCGCTTGCTTCTTTGTTGCTTTTGTTGTCAAATCAGTGCTGGATGTGAATTGTGTTTGTGTTTCGGAAATTTACTAGAAGACTTACACAAAAACACGGCTGTGGGGCAACGAGCAAGGTTGGGAGAAGCAAGCAAGCCAAACAGAAGATTACCGCTGTTGGGAGATGTGCAGGAGGCGCGCTCTCTCTTACGCCTTGAAGATGGTGACCTGCAGAGAGGCACCCTTGATCTGCAATACAGGGAGCGAGAGAAAACCATGAGGAAGCACTACACACCTCAGTGCAAGGGCATCGAGCACACATGCACACACATAGCCACACACACACACACACACAACCAGAGCACACACTCACACACACTCTCCACCTCTCTCGCTCTCTCTGTCTCCAACACACACACACAGAAAGAGCAGAGCACGAACCTTGAGGGCTTCGGTGGCAATGACGGCCGATGCATCAGCTTCATCCGAAGCCTAACGATCAGATAAAACAGGTGGAACAGGCAGTGAGTGAGTGGGGTTGAACGAGGCTGGGGCAGGCAAAGGCATGGGCAAAAAGCGCACCAAGAAGAAGAATGAACACACCCCACACACACACACACACACGCACGCACACACACACACACACGCACACACACACATGACATACTGGCTGGAAGGTGCAGGAGAGGGCCTCGGCGATGTACGACTGGTGGGAACCAAGGACGCGTTCCAGATCGTCCGTCTTCTTGCCGCCCTGGAGCTTGTGGGTGACGGTGATTGGGTCGGTGGGGCTGAGGCCCGCTGCCTGCCGCATCTTCTGCACGCGGCTCACAACCTCACGCGCAATGCCCTCGTCAACAAGCTCGGGGTACTCAAGCACTGCACCCAACGGAAAAGAGGGAGAGCGAGAGAGGGAGAGAGACAGAGAGAGAGAGAGAGAGACAGACAGACAGACAGACACAGAGACAGAGAGACAGATGAGTGTCAAAGAAGGTGGAAGTAGGGGCAGGGCAGAGCAGAGCAAGGCCAGCAAGTGTGCAACGTGTGTGGTGTGGGGTGTACTGTGCTGTGCGGTGTTGTGTGCAGTGTGGAGCAAAGGCGGTGACGTACCATCGAGGAGGACGAGGATGTCGCCGTCGGCCTGGGCGGCGTACTTGTTGTCGTCGCCCGCATACTCGTACGACAGCACAAGATCCGTGCCCGTCAGCGTGTGGCCGCACAGCTCAATCGTTTGGGTGCTCTGCAATGCGTGTGCGCGTGCGAGTGCGTGTGCACGTGCGTGCGAGTGCGTGTGCGCATGGGCGTGAGTTGCACCAATCGACATTCAGCAGGCATGCGCGAGCGTCGACTTCACGCACTGAGAACATCAAACCCACACGAACACACACGCACACGAACACACACGCACACACACGCACACACACACACACACACGCACACACACGCACACCCACACCCACACACGTACACACACACGAACGCACACACACACACACACGCAGAGGTGCAACGGCAGTTGCCATGGCACGCATGACAATGTACCTGGTACTCGGTAAGCTGGTCGTGGGTGAGCTGGCGGACGGCAGCAGCGACCTTCTTGATGTCACTCTTCAGGCGGGAGCCGAGCGTCTTGAAGTCAGGCTGCGCCTTGAGCTTGACCTTGTACGCAGACTCGTCGCTGGACAGCGTCAGCTTGCGGATGTTCAGCTCGCTCGTCACATACGTCTGCAGCGACTGCAGATCCTCAAGCACGTTCTCCGTCTGCGTTGGTTGGTTGGTTGGTTGGTTGGTTGGTTGGTTGTTGTTGTTGTTTAAGTTGTCGTTGTTGTGTGACAATTGAGGGGTAGCTCGTGAGAATCTGTCCAAAGCAACATAGCGGCAAGATATTCACAAACGCAGCTACGCAGGGCATCAATTCGGCGGGGCGCACGTACGGTGGAGACGACGACCAGCTCCATGGCAGGGTACTTGACAGGCATCTTGTTGCGCTCGCGAAGAACACTGCACAGAGAGACGATGTGAGGGAGAGTGTATGTGAGTGAATCAGAGAGTGTGTGAGAGTACGAGAATGCCCATCATGGCAAGCACAGGGATAACACAACGCGTGCACACACGCACGGATGCACTCAAAAATGACCACTCAGTACGCAAATCATCATCCCCCCCCCCCAACAGCCATCACCACCAGCACGAGGGTCGCTGCTCACCGGCCACCGTCGATGGTGCGCTTGAGGACTTCAAAGGCGCGCACGACGCTGTGGTCCTCATAAAAGGGCTTTGGATCCGGCACCAGGTTGAAGTGCACAGACTCATCCTCTCGCACGCCATCAATCGTTCGCAGCTGCGCCTCAGCCTCAGGCGACACCTTGATGTACGGCTTCATGTGCTGGTACATCCACTCTGGTGTAGAAACGACAGCACGTGGTTGTGCATGTTAGGTGTGCGTGTCTGTGCATGTGCGTGCGTGTGTGTCTGTGTGTGTGTGTGTGTGTGTGTGTGTGTGTGTGTGTGTGTGTGTGTTTGTGTATCAGGCAACCACACTGCATGACAGCAGCAGGCGAGCCCCCACCTGCGAAGAATGGGGTGAACGGAGCCATGAACTTGGCCATGGTCATGAGCACTTCGCCGAGCGCCCACAGCGCAATGGCGGCGTCCTCGTCGCCCTCAGCACCCTGCACACGCGGTAAGACAGACAGGGGAGGGGCAAACAGTGATGGAACGGACAGATCGTCAGACAGGCATGGAGTGAGGCACGCACACACACACACACACACGCAGCGACACACACACACACACACACACACACACACACACACACACACACACACACACACACACACACACACACACACAAGCACAGCGATGGTGGCGATGGCTCGTACCTTGAGGCGCTTGCGGTTGAGCCGGACATACCAGTTGGTCAGGTTGTCCACAAACTTGAGCAGGCGGGGAACAACCGTGTACAGGCGGTATGCTGCCCATACACGCACGCCACAGCAACGAACACGATGATAATGCATGAGAAGTGCGTAGAGAGAGGGAGATATAGTGTGCGTGCGCGTGCGTGCGTGTGCATGTGCATGTGTGTGCATCCTTGATCATCTCACGTGCACACCCCGCAGCCCCACAGCCGAGCGCTCACCCTGCATCTCTGCGTGGATAAACTCGAGGAGCTCCTGCACAAACGCGAGGATCCAGCGGTCTGTCGGGTTGTCCGTGTTGCACTTGGCCGTGTCGTCAAACAGGAACGGCTGCCCGCTGCTCGCCTGCGTTATGTGCGCCCGCGTGCATGTGTGAGTGTGATGCATATAGGTGCAGTAGCAGTTACTGTGCATGGGCAATTCGGGCGCACGGGATGAACGCTCACCCCCAATGCTTCAATGCCCCTCCCCACCACGAGTTCATCCCACTCTGTCTTGAGGTGCACCTTGAGGCGGTCGGCCTGCTGCTCAAAGAAGCGGAATGCGTTGAGCCACGGCAGGAACACCTCCCTGATCAGACCCTGCACACACACACACACACACACACACACACACACACACACACACACACACACACACACACACACACACAGTACAATAAGCACGTGGTCGTGGACCGACGACAGAGGATGGGATCGTGGTGAGGAACTTTGAACCAGGGCATGTATCTCACTCGTATGCATCTCAATCGTCTGCACAACAGACGAACAAACAATGAACACACACACACACACATAACAAACAGTGTACACGACCACCCAGGGCTGATGTCATGCGAGCGTGAATGTCAAGGGCATCGCACCTGCACGCCCTTGCGCTCGAAGCGGAGGTTCTCAGCACGCACGGCTGGCGATGTGATGAGATACAGACTGGCAAGTCCAGGGCAATCGTGGTGCAATCGTGGTGGTGGTGGTGGTGGTGGTGGTGGTGGTGGTGGTGGTGGTGGTGGTGGTGGTGGTGTACACAACGTGTGAGGAAGAAAGTAAAGGTGAAACGAACGGCAGGTTGGCCGCACCCAATACACACACGCACACACACACGCACACACACACACGCACACACACACACGCACACACGCACACACACACACGCACACACACACACACACACAACAAGACAACATACACACACATACACACACACACACATACACACACACACACATGAAGCGTACCGGAGGGCGTCTGCGCCGTCCTCGTGGAGAACGAGGTTTGGATCCGGGTAGTTCTTCAGGCGCTTGCTCATCTTACGGCCGTCAGAGGCAAGCACAAGCCCGTTCACAATCAGGTTCTTCCACGGCGCCTTGTCAAACAGGCACGTGCCAATCACAAGCAGCGTGTAGAACCTGCAGTCACACGCACGAAGTGACGGGAAGAGGGGAGGGTGGAGATGGCGGAGAAGAGTGCAATTGTGAGTGAGTCGGGGAGGAAAGATGAGCAAGTGAGCAAGCAAGGCGCGAATGAGGAGCACGCATGCAGTGCTATTGAACGCACGTGCACGCAAATAGAAATGCAGGCGCACGGGGGAAGCATGCGTGCGTGTTTTGCGCTGTTTGCTTTGTTCTTTGTGTGTGGGTGCATGCTCACCAGCCACGGGTCTGGTCGATGCCCTCGGCGATAAAGTCGGCAGGGAAGTTCTGCTCAAAGTCCTCCTGCACATTGTTGGCACGATTAAGGTGCAGCAGACGACGCGTCACGTTAGGCACTGCACTCCATTTCTTTTCGCACCCGCAACCAAAAGCGGAACCAGCCACGGACACAAATCGCGCACACGAGGAGTTGTACTTGATACAACCGCACACAACCATATGATGACAAGCAGCACAGCCACCAGCACAAACACCAGCACAGCCATCACCACAACCACCAGCAACAGCGCCACCGTAATCAGAAAAAGCATGAGCACCCTCGCGGCTGACCTTGTGCTCAAAGGGGTAGTGCTGCTGGGCGTATGGCATGCTGCCGCTCTCAAACCAGCAGTCAAACACCTCGGACACGCGGCGCAGCACGCCCTTGCCCTGCTTGGAGGGGATGGTCACCTCGTCCACATACTGGCGGTGGAGGTCGGTGATGTCGTCGCGGCCAGAGAGCTCCTGCAGCTCCTCAATGGAGCCGACACACACCACTTCCTCGCCATCGTCGCTCACCCACAGCGGCAGCGGCGTGCCCCAGTACCGGTTGCGCTGCGGAAATGCACAGGGAGGACGTGAGCGAGTGATGTGGATGAGAGAGGAGAGAGAGAGAGAAGAGAGGGAGTGTGTGTGTGGGGGGGGGGTGTCAAGTGAACACACAGCAATGCGACTATGGACCTACGCTGATGGCCCAGTCGCGGGCGTTCTCCAGCCACTTGTGGAAGCGGCCGTCGCGGATGTTGTTCGGCACCCTGCACCGTACATGACGGTAACAATCGGGCAAACAGCGAGTGAGCAGGTGCACGGCATGGGTTGGTTGGATGGATGATAAGCCTGTTGAGTACATGTGCTTTGGTTCGCAACAGCAGGAGCAACATCAACAACGACGAGAACAACACCACCACCAACGATGGCGATGAATGCAGAACGTGGGGTGTGTGAGCCGCACCAGTATGTGGACTTGTTGTTCTTGAGGAGCTTCTCGTTGAGCTCTGTGACGCGGATGAACCACGACGGCAGCGTCAGGTACAGCAGCGGCGTGCCCGACCTGCACAGTGAGCCAGTGCGTCATGGTGGTGGCGATGATGGTAGTGGTGGTAGTGGTGGTAGTTGGTGCACAGGGAGGTCCAGCAAGTTTCGATGTGAGCAACGCTAACGTGGAGAGGCATCCGTGCTGCACATGTCGTGGCGACGACAACAACGACAACGACAACGACAACGACAACGACAACGACAACGACAACGACAACGACAACGACAACGACAACGACAACGACAACGACAACGACAACGACAACGACAACGACAACGACAACGACAACGACAACGACAACGAGCATGCATGGAAACAGACATGAAGCAGCGATAACATGTCGGGTGGTTTGGTGTCATGTGATGTGATGGAGGGTGGGGCACGCACCTCCAGCAGTGGGGGTAGGCGTGGCGAATGCGGGCGCTGGCAAACAGCTTGCCCTCCTCCTTCATGCGCTTGATGATGACCTGATGCAGGAGAAGCAATGACGCGAGTGAGCACAACGTGGCGATGGCAGGAATCGAGACACTGGGACCGGGGACGGGGAGGGGGATAACCGAAGCCAAGGAAAAGCCAAACACCCGCCACAACACACACACACACACACACACACACACACACACACACACACACACACAACCACACACACACACTCACACACTCACAAGTACACAAACAAACACATACACACACTCTCTCTCACGCGTGCGGTAGCATGCATACCTTGTCTGCGTCCTTGACGTACATGCCCTCCATCTCGGGGACGTCCTTGGTGTACTTGCCCGTGTGGTCAACGGGGCACACCAGGTCCTCCGTCGTCACCACACCCGCAGCCGTGCACACGCGGAAATCATCCTGCCGTGCGCATGGTGGCGGTGGAGGAGAAGAATAATGAACACATGCAAGTGGATGTGAGGTGAGTTGGGCGAATACCCCCGGGGGGCAAATGAGCGTTCCCCAGCCGTAAACACACACACACGTACACACACATACGCATACGCACACACACATACGCATACGCACATGCACACACGCACACGTACACACACACTACACCAGGCCCCTCTTTGCTGCTTGAACTGACCTCGCCATGGCCCGGGGCGTTGTGGACAATGCCAGTGCCCGAGTCGTCGGTGACGTACGTGTCAACAAGCACGCGGAACGCCTTGTCCTTGCGGTCGGCAAAGTAGGGGAAGAGCGGCTCATAGCGCATGTCCTTGAGGTCTGCGCCCTTGTACGACTCGAGGATGGTCACGTCCTCCTTCTGCTCCTCCGTGTACAGGCCGCCCGGACCAAACAGCCGGCCCTTGAGCGCAATGAAGTTCTCCCCACGCTTCTCGTCTGCAAACAAGCCGTGATTTGGTAGTTGGTTGGTTGGTTGGTTGTGGAGTGGAGTGGAGTGGAGTGGAGTGGTGTTGTGTTGTGTTGTGCGGTGGTGTATTGTGTATATGTTGTGGTGTGTATGCGTTGTGGTGCGTTGTGTTGTGTATGTGTGGAGTGGTGTTGTGTTGTGTTGTGTCAGCGTGTATTGATGCACAGCGGCGGCAAGCAACACGCATGGCAACGCGTGCAAACCCCAACCGAGTCTACCACAGTCTGCACTTCCAACACACCGCGAAACTTGACGTATTCAAACTCTGGGTGCACGCAGAGGGCGAGGTTGCTTGGGAGGGTCCACGGGGTGGTCGTCCACGCAAGGAACGATGCATCGCCGTCAACCTGCTTGAACGCAATCGTCACTGCAGCACGCGCGGGGTGTTGTGGGGACGGGGACAGGGATGGGGACGGGGTTCGGAATGGGGCAAAGCAGAACAGCAACACGTGAGCGAGTATAAAGGAGTGATATGGTTCGTTGGAGTGAACGGGAAAAAGGGAAAAGACATCGTGCACAAACACGACGAGTGTGCCTGTATCAGCCAACGATGCCAAAGGGAGTTTGAACAGAACCCGCAAATGCATGCGTTCTTGCAAGCATGCAATGATGCGATGCTGCAGTGCTGCGACGCCACCTGCTGGGTCGTCGACGTCGCGCATGTCCTGGCTGGCCTCGAAGTTGGAGAGGGGCGTTGAGAGCGCAGTCGAGAACGGCATGACCTGCGCAGCAAACAACAACAACACATGGACATGGTCGTGAACAACAAGATGCGTGCTGGAGAGCGTGTATGCGAATCGTTGTACATATGTGCATCAGCTCAGGGCACATTAGGATGCCACAACCAGTGATTTGTTCACACCACTTTTGCTCTCTCACACACACACACAAAACACATACACACAAACACAAACACACATACACACACGAACGCACACACTCTCTGTCTCCATCCTGGCAGCAACTTCATTTTCGAACATGATAAAGGGCAAGACTGGGCATGCAAGATCACCTTGTATCCGCGGTACACGAGGTTCTTGTCAAAGATCTGCTTGAACACGTACCTGTGCCATCACACAAATCAACAGCAGCAGCAGCAGCAGCAGTAGTGGTGGTGGTGAGCATGACTATTACAGAGATAGTGACAGGGCCAAAGACAGCGACAGAGGCTCAGGCACAGGGACAGACAGAGGTGGTAGGTGCGATGCGACCGCGGGGCCACATGTACACGTACAGCCGGTGCATCCAAACACATCACGAGCGCATGTGGAGGGTGAAGGTACGCACCAGACGCTCTCCATGAACCAAGGGTACATGGTCTTGTAGTCGTTGTCAAAGTCAATCCAGCGACCGAGGCGGCTCACGGTGCGGCGCCACTCCTAACACACACACACACACACACACACACACGCACGCGCATACAAGGTGAGCGCATCACTTGAGTGTAGTGGCTGTGAAGGACTCAGCAAAGAAACTGTGTTTGGGCACGGAGAATGCTCCGTCGATTGTATTCGTGATGTTCATGTTTTGGCGGACCTCGGAGTAGCGCATGACAATGGCACGGCAGGCGTCGTTGTAGGTGGCAATGCCCATCTTCATGACGTCGTCAGGGCCTTTGATCTGACACGCGTGGACACGCATTCAAGAGGGAGGGGTTGCATGCAGGCATGAGCTGGTGCGTGATTGGCACCATATAACAACAACCTTCTACAGCGCATGCTTCCTGTGGCATGTGCAGCAGCAGCAGAAAGCCAAACAGTACACGCACACAAGCACACACACACAAACCACACACACACACACACACACAAACCACTGACACACAACACAGCACACACAAAACAGCACACATGCATGCATGTATGCACGCACCCCGTATTCCTTGTCAATCTCGTACTCGACGGGGAGGCCGTGGCAGTCCCAGCCAAAGCGGCGCGGCACGTGGTACCCGCGCATGTGCGCATAGCGCGTCACGACATCCTACAAGCACAAAACAGTGCACACACACACGCACGTGCATACGTGACACGCGGCAAATCATTGTGGAGGTGAGACAACCATGGGCAGAGCAGCAGGTCGAGCCGTACGCAAGGGGCGTCCAAATCGAATACACACACGCAAACCTTGATGGTGCCAGCGAGCAAGTGGCCGTAGTGGGGAAGACCCGTGGCGAAGGGCGGGCCGTCGAAGAACACAAACTTCTCCACGCTGCAGCGGCACGTCAGTTCGTTGCAATTGAGCGCATGTGACCACGGGTGAGCAAGGGAACCAGCACACGTGTGAGTGAGTGAGTGTGTGTGTGTGTGTGTGTGTGTGTGTGCGTTTGCACGACATACGCGAGCAAGACATGGCAACATCGTTCACAAACACACACACACGCACTTTGGTTTTGACGCGGAAAACTTCATGGAGAGCTGGAAGGCGTCCTTCTCGTTCCAAAACTTGAGGATGTTCTCCTCCTCGCCAGGGAAGCTGAACATCTCTGGTTGGGCGGAGATTGCAAACATGCACACAGTGTGGATGATGAGATGAGCGTGGCAGCACATGGTGCAATACAACACAGCACGACACACAAGCCCTCACACTCGCACGCACGTTCACGCTCACATTCTCACTCACACTCACATTCTCACTCACACACGCACTCACATTCTCACTCACACACGCACTCACAAGCACACACCACACACTTCCGCTGTATTCATAGGGAAAGTGTGGGTTCATCACGGAGTTCCACCCCCACGCAAGGAGTTTGGCAAGAACGTTTATATGTCCGCATTAGAACCGGATCCCCTGTGAAACAATCGCTAGTATGGAGCGCTCGCACGCGTTCTGCCCTATGACGTCCACATGCAGGGGCAACTCAGACATCACAAGTACGTGTGCTACGAAGACATCCTTCCTGATAACGGACAGTATATTTCATTTCTCTGAACTCGCAAGCCTGGATCGGTCACTCCAATACGTCACTGGGTTGGAGACACGCGTTAGTTACTCCCCGATTAAGTCTCGGGGGGCATCCCTTTCTTCGGTGAATGCGATTTTACGATCCCGCTTAAACACACACACACACACACACACACACACACACACACACACACACACACACACACACCATGAATCAAAGCAAAGGTCAAGGGGCAAACGTCAAAATGACACGTACCCTTGCCGGTGCCTTCGGACTCGCTGCCCTTCTTGCCCTTGCCTGCGGCCTTGCCCTTCTTGCCCTTGCCTTGGGCATCCTTCTTGGGCTGATCCTTGCCGGCAGCGCCGGCAGCTGCGGCCTTCTTGTCCTTGCCCTTCTTGCCCTTCTTGCCACCCTTGTCCTTGTCGGTGGTGTCGCGGGCGGCCTTGGACGGGGCGGGTTCGCCCGTGGCGTCCTGGTACTTCTGCTCAAGCGCCTGCAGCTTCTGCAGCGCGGCCTGGCGCTTCTCGTCCAGCTCCTTCAGGACCTTGGCCTGCTCGTCGATTTCGGCCTTGAGCGTGTCCCTGACACAGAAGGATTGGACAGACGGATGGATGAATAGCAGGTCGTGCGTGCATGACATGCAAGACATCACAGTTGTTGAGTGACAAAACAGTTCGTGATGTGATCATCACACGCACAAACTGGCTCCCACGGCACGCCAGGTGCTCGCCCGCATGCAAACACACATACCACACACACACACACACACACACACACACACACACACACACACAAGCTTACATGTTGTCCATGGTTGTGTTTGAACTCGGTTGGTGTGGTTCGGATGGGTAAGTGGTGATGGGTGGGTTGGAGACAGCAGTCCACAAGGATTATGCATGCACACAAAGCACAACAACTCAATCACGTGCAGTTGACCACCGATGATGGTTGGGGAAATTTCATGCAAATTTTCACTGAAAATTCTTCGGTAACATAACAAGTGGAGGTGGTGGTGGTGGTTGCAGTGTCACAGCATATCTCTCACTCTTGTGTGTCTGCGCTCTTGCTGTCTCTCCACCACTTCTCTCCCTCTCTCCCTCTTCTTGTTTGTGCCCACGCTCTAATGCCACGTATTGGTTGTCTGGAATCAAGACAAGAATGGAAAAGAGAAGGAGGAACAAGCGGGGTTGATTTATGATTTGACAATGACATTCACACGCGGAAAACACAGAGAAAGAAAGAAAGAATTGGAACTGAACTGAACTGAACTGGGACGAATGGTAAACGCTTGAACAAACAGACGGTGGGGGGGCGAAGGAACACGCTCTGATGGTGGGGAGCAAAGAAACAGGAACCACAATGCGAGAGGTGGTACACAGAATATCGGCAACAAGAACGGCAACTTCCATTTGATGCACAGCAAAACAAGTGCACACGCAACGCGCATACCAAAACGCCATCAGTTGAGGGAGTAACAAAAAGGCCCACAGGGTGGTGACAAAGCTGTGGTCCGCACCTGGCACTCATTCAGAGAACACACACACACACACACACACACACACACACACACTCATGCGCGCACACGCATGCGCACACACTCATGCGCGCACACTCATACACACACATACGCACAAACTCTCACTCTCTCATTCTCTCGCCCTCTCTCATCACACAGCTACTTGTCTTGCTCGTGCACGGACGGCAACACCGTGAGGGCTGTCTTGAACTCATCATCATCCTCGCCGTTATCCTCGTGAGCATCATTGTCGTGATCGTTGCCATGGCCATCGCCTGTCCGCGCTGGCGACTGTAGCGAACTGGCCAGACTGCTGGACGCATCATAGTACACACTCTGCTCAAGACTGCCGCTTGTCGTTGGCCTCCCTTCTGCTTCGTCTTCCCCCGCAACAGCCGCAGTGTCACTGCAACCATCACCATCACCACCATTACCATCATTATCGTCGTCGTCATCAGACGGGATGGGCGGGGGCGTGCCTGGTGGTGAAGGTAGCCTTGCCTCACCACCATCGCCGCCCTTGTTCTCCTCCTCCTTCTCCACGCGCTCCTGCAGTGACACGGGCGCTTCTGCTGTCTCCGTGGCAGCGCTCGGTTGCGCCGGGGTGGTGTCGCCATCGTGGGACGAGTCACGCATGATGTGGCTCTTCCGGGTGATGATACTGTCGCGGCGTGGCGGGAGAAAGCCCTCTGCGCCCGGCTTGGGAAGCGACACCAGCACCGCGTCCTCCTGCCTGTCAAACGCCTCTGTCTTCCACTCCTGCGACTTGCGCTTCTCCCCATCGCGCCGGCCCGCCTTCTTTGTCTTCTTGCCCGGCTTGCCTGCCTGTTTCGCGTGACCATCGCCACTGTTACCTTCCCTTCGCTGCTGTTCTTGTTGCGCTTGCTGCTGCTGCTGCTGTCGTTGTTGTTGTTGCTGTTGCTGCTGCTGTTGCTGCTCGTGTGGCGGTTGGCTGGCAGATGCGTCCGCTGCTTCCTCCGACGCGCGTGCACTGAGATCTCCAAACGAGACAGACTGCGCCTTGCTGCGCCGCTGGCCTGCTTGCGATGTGCCCTTGCTAGGCGCTACATCACTGCCGCCATCGCCACCAACGCCGTCCGGGCGCGCCTTGTATGGCTGTGTCTGCCCAACAGGCGTGGTCTGCCTGCGCTTGTGGTGCGGGGCCGGTGTGTTGCGCTTCATCATCTCCTCATACTCCTGCACTCGAAGCAGGTCCTCGTACGTCACAATGTTCTCGTAATCGTATGCGCTGAGCAAGGCGTCAACATCACGGCTGTCTTCGCCCTCCCCGCCTTCCGCTCCGGCACGCGCGTGCTGCGCGCGTTCCTCGCCCCCCTGCCCATTGCCACCACTGCTGCTATCGCCGCCGCCAGCACCGCTATTTCTCTTCTGCCGCCGCTTGCCGCCGCCAATCTGGAACGACACGCCCGCATCAACAACGCCATCGCCACCATCGCCAGGACCACCATCATTGTCATTGCCTTCATCGGCAAACCGGACCGCACGTCCAGTAGTCGCGCTGCCGCCGTTCACGTGCTCGTGTTGGTGTTGGGTGTCTTCAACTTCACCCCACTGCGCCTCGTAGTCAGCCCCCTCGCCTTCGTCGCCCTCCTCAAGGTCGTCAAAGTTGTCGCTGTAGCGCTTGCGCACGAAGCCCGTGTTCCTGTTGTGTCGACGCCACCGGTTGGCGTGAGGGCATGGCGGCGGTGGTGTGTGTGTGTGTGTGTGTGTGTGTGTGTGTGTGTGTGTGTGTGTGTGTGTGTGTGTGTGTTTGTTTGTTTGTGAGTGTGGGAGGGGGGCAAACGATGATCATGTTTTTGTGTTTGCGTGTGTTTGAAAGAGCACATGCAGGGAGGGTGGCATGCGTGGACGTACATTCGCTTGCGAGACGGAGCAACCTTGACAGGGCTGAAGTTCACCCAAAGCACACACACACACGCACACACACACACACACACACACACACACACACAGAGCAACGGCGGTGATGCATACGTGAGCAATGGATGGGATGGCAAGAAGACAGCATTGAACACGGCGAGCAGAGGTGAAAAGGATGCGTACGCGTGTGCGTGTGTGTGCACGTGTGTGTGTGCGTGTGCGTGTGTGTTGAATGTGTTTGGTTAAGAATTACTAACTCTCTGTCGTCTGCAAGTAGCGGTGCGTGCAAGTCCGAGTGCTAGGCAAACAGAAGAAGAACACAAAAGGGCATGCGTGGACAGTGTGTGAGGGGTGGACAGCAGCGAGACTGTGACGGCGCATGCACGCATTCATCACATGTTGTTGACAAGCCCCAGCGAGCAGGAGCAAGCGCAAACACACACACACACACACACACACACACACACCACCACCACCACCACCACCACCACCACCACCACCACCACCACACACCACACACCACACGCACGCACGCACACACACACACACACACAACAACAAACTACAGCAGCACGGGCGACATGGCACCTTTGTGTCTGTGGACCACGCCGTGACGGTGTGCTCCTGGTTCTCGGTGAGGGCAATGCGCACACGCCGGCCCTTGATGGACTTGAAGCGCTTGCGCAGCGACGACGGCGTTAGACGTTGCCTGATGGCGGTTGGTTGGTGGGTTGGTTGGATGGTAGTGGTGGAGAATAGAAGAACAAGAACAAGAACAAGAACCAGGCAGTGAGCCGATGCCAGAGGATGAGGACACACATACACACCGCACATACACACCGCACATACACACCGCACATACACACCGCACATACACACCACACATACACACCGCACATACACACCATACACACCACACATACACACCGCACATACACACCGCACATACACACCGCACATACACACCGCACATACACACCGCACATACACACCACACATACACACCGCACATACACACCATACACACCACACATACACACCGCACATACACACCGCACATACACACCACCACTACCATCCACCATCCCCTAATACTCAACAGCACCTGTTGAGTGGGTCGAAGAAGAAGACAATGAGGATACCGAGACCATTGAAGGTGATCCACACCGTGTGCGCGACCTCCAGGTGCGTCTCCGTGTACTCGTATGCGGCGCACATCGACTGCAGTGTGTCGTGCTTCAACTGGTGATGCAACGTGGCCAGCGTGGTCGTGGCGGTGGTGAGGATGGTATGAGACGGGGTGTTGGGTGTAAGGTTGTACGCGCTGCGCTGCACATGAACAGCACAACAAAGTGCCGCCAACCAACAAGCAAACACGCAAACACACAAACACGCAAACACGCACACACAAATGTACACACGCACAATCATGTACGTGCACGCACACACACACACACACGCACACACAAACGTACACACGCACAATCACGCACGCGCACGCAAGTACACACACAAACAAACAAGTATTCACGCGCATATTACACACACACACACAAACAAACAAACAAACAAACAAACAGATACGCACCGCAAAGTATTTGATGAGGTCTGAGACGAGCAAGAGGACGAAGAAGAGCGGGTACACGCGCAAGGGCTGATACACGCCGCGAATAATGTCCTTTCGCAGCTCAATCATCTTCTTGTTGCGCAGCTTCTCGGGACGCGGCAGGTGCTGGAAGGTCTGGTGGGCCCGTCAGTGATGATGGCAGGTGGTGATGAGCTCGTGAGAGAGACGGAGCAAGCTTGCTTGTACATCAGCACGATTTAACACAACAAATTCCAACAGCACAACTTTTCACAACATGTCACAACAGCAGCAACACGCAATGTGGTCCAACACAGTCAGAGAAACCCCCAAAGCCAACACATGACACCCCCTCCCCCTATTTCTGCTCTCGCTGTCTTCCCTTCCCGTTCCCCCCCCCCCGCCTCCTCTTCTGTCTGCGCACCTGCAACTGCTCCTCGGCCTGCTTGAGGACGGCGCGCTGGGTGTGGATGCGATAAAGCATCCAGCAGTAGAGCACGAGCGGGAAGAACATGTACAGATTGCGGGCGTAAGAGAAGCGGATGGCGAGGTCGAGGCAGTCCACAATGAGTTGCGTGGGCCAATCCTCCGTGTAGCAACCGCGCTTCTTGCACAGCCCAAAGGACAGCCCTACAACGCGAGTGGGGGCGTGGTTGGTTGGATGCGGACGATGAGTGGTGTTGTTTGGATGGTTGGATGGTTTGTTGAGGGGTAAGAAGGCGGGCACTGGCGGAACGATTGGGAATGGAATTGGAAATGTTTCTGAAACAAGGCATGACCAAAACACACGCCACCACACACACACACACACACACACACGC